TTAGACTTACAAGATAGGATTTTCAGAAAATATGAAGTCAAACACATGGAGCACGCAGGCAGAATCAAAGACGCAAGGATCAATCGCAAGATATAACCATGAACACAATTCACGGTTTGGCTAGATTACTTAGTAATAAAGGAATTCGATACACAAATAGATGCAGCCACCAAAACTACACCTAAAAGAGCAATATGACATGAGATCTGAATGGAAAGAGAGCTTAGTATGCTACCAAGTTGATAACAACAACCAAAGTAAAGGAATCACTAACAATCGCAAAGGAAATGGATTCAACGACCTTGGCTCCTCTTAGATTGTTACAAACTTGATTAGAGAGCTCCAACAACCAGGCCAAACTCATCCCTAGCTGCCATACTCGTTGCTTGACACTCCCGGAGTGCAAACCACCAAAGTCCAACCTTGGAATTGCAAGATTTCACCATGGACAATCCATTGATGATCTCTCGGTTTCAAGCTTTGAAAAGCTATGGAATTTTCTCCCCCTTTTTGTTTCTTCCCCTTTTTTTCTTTAGGAAGAAGACTCTTTATCACATCAAACTTGGTTGGCTCCACAAGTTAGGTGGTGAAGCAAGCAACTAGAAAAGTCAAAAGTTGTAACTATGTCTAAAATAATACAACTAGCTTTCCTATACTATTAGAAAATCTTAGAAAAATAATTACTTGACTTAGTGGATCTTTCCTGGTCCCTAAGGAATCCCTCTTTCAGGTTCTAATACTTAAAATAACTTACAACATCAAAATAAACCAAAAATCAGGCCACAACATCAAATCGGTAAGCGGAAACGGCTCTCCTGGGTTCTTGACTCGGCAAAATGGGCCGTTTTGAGAAAACTCTCAGAAAATGGCAAAATCTCCCGGACAAGCTGGGTTTTACCTCCGATAATGTGTATATAAAATGTCCAAAACGATCATCGGATGTAAAAAATTGGGCCTGGGTGAAGAGTTGTCCGAGTAATGACCTTTTCCCGACAAACGGGTTAGCCGAATAGGTGCATTTGTTGATTCTCTCGGCAAACATCATTTTTCCTCGGGCAAGTTGAATTATTTCCCCGCAAACCATACCTGAAAGGACCAGAAAACACTAGACTTGAATGGTAAGGAAATTGATCAACCTAGCGTCATACTCTTTCGGTATAGGTACTTCCGTCTGACGTAGGAGACCATTGACACTTTCTTGCAACTTCTTGGCTTTAGAATGTGTCATAGGACCAGAAGACTTAGGTGTCATGATGGGAGCTTCCTCAGGAAGGTCTACATCATGTACTTAATTGAGTTGATCAAAATTAGATATATTTTCACAATGGAGACTATTTTTTTAGGATGAATCAAGTAGTAATCATTAATATTTTTTTTCTAGTATGTTTGTTTATTTTTGGAAGTAAACGCCCTATCTCATACATCTAGCAAAAATTTATCAAAATTTATCTATTTTTTATTTATTTTTTTAGGTTCACTACAGTCTACAGCTGCGGTGGCTCGTTCCATAGTGGAATCCTCCTGGTAGTAGAAATAAAAAGAAATGAGAACCTTTTTTTCAAATACTGGACCAATTATGAAAAATAAAAAACAATGTAAAATAAGTCCTACCTCAGCTGAACTTTTAGTGAACTCATCAAATTGTTGATTCTAGAATCATATGTCTTCAAGGAGTTTACAAAAATTAGGAAGATTTTATCCTTTTTAGAGTCTTGTGATTCCTAGATTTGTTCAAGCAACGGTGGGAACAGTCTGTAGTCCAAAATAAACTTTCAGAATGAGAGCAGAAACAACTATCACTATATATCCAAAAAAAACAGATGAGTCTCCAACAAATATCTAAAACAGACTTGACAAATAAGTAGACTAGTCTATTACATGTGAACCAAAAAAAAAAATGTTTCAAAAGCAATCTGATAACTATTTTTTCTCCCAGAGTGGATTGCAAAATGGATAAGAACTAGCATCCTGGAGAGGTCCATATAATCTTGTCAGCAAAGTCGAGTACCAGGGAAAAACTAACATTGAGAAGTAAAGACTTCCTGAAACGGATAGTCATTTTTCAGGCAGAATCAGCCAGTTACAAGAATGACAATATTAAAGTCTCTAACATTTTGTCCATTATCAGTTTTACACTAAATTAAATCTAACTAGAGTCCCAAACAAGGAGAAACTCATATTTCTTGGTATAAACACATAAAAAGGCACTTTAGTACAACTTAACATTGATCTTGACCAAACTTTCTTTCAACTAAAAGTTTTATAACAATAACTAAATCAGTTAAAATGCAACCACGGGAATGCATTGTAGAGAAGGAACCTTGTGCTTGTAACTTACAACAAGCAAATAAAGTCAAAGCAATTGCATAAACTAACAGATTATTTCCAAAACAACAACCAGAAAGAACCAAAAAAATGTATTTAATTTTGACTCGTGAGTTTGGCCAAAAAAATGTCCATTGCCATGCTTGCATTGTTCATTTCCATGTTTTCATTATTCATTATGCAAATCTACAATATTCATCATGCTCTGACTATTGTTTGAAATATGTCTAATTGAAATGTTTAAATATTTGTGACATATGAGGTTAGGGGATTGGACACAGTATACTTCTTATTCAATTTAAAAATATTTTTTAGTTAATTAGGCTAAAAAAAATTATAAATTAATCATCTTACGTCATACACTAGACCCTAACATAACTCTCTCAAACCCTAAATCCTAATCACTATAGACCCTAACCTAATTCAAATGCTTAAACTCTCCTAAACCCTAAACACTAATCGTTAGACCCTAACCTGATTGAAATGGTTAAACCCTCCTAAACCCTAAAAACTAAACACACTATGCCTTTTATTCAGTTTAAATTTTTTTAATTCAATTAGGCTAGGTTCTCGTAATTGAATTAAAAAACTTTATAACTTAATCACGTTACGTCACACTTTAAACCCTAACCTAATTAAAATGATTAAATCCTCCTAAACCCTAAATCCTAATCACTAGATCCTAACCTAATTGAAATACTTAAACCCTCCTAAATCCTAAAAACTAAACACATTATGTTTTTTATTCGGTTTAAATTTTTTTAATTCAATTAGACTTGAATTTAAAAAAATTTGTGAGCTAATCGTGTTATGTCACACACTAGACCCTAAACTAATTGAAATGATTAAACTCTCAAAAACTCTAAATCCTAATCACTATAGACCCTAACCTAATTCAAATACTTAAAGCCTCTTAAATCTTAAACAACTAGACTATAACCAATACAACAATGCTTAAACACTCTTCTACCCCAATGTTCATTACCATACTTGTATAGTTCATTTTCACGCTTGTAGTGTTCATCTTGGGTGCTTAGTATTAATTGCGTCTGTGAGGAACGGTTGAAATTGCGTTCAAAAATATTTTATAAAGTTAAAAAAATTAAAATACAAAATTTAAATTGTTTTTTTTTAAAAAAAAAAAAAAGCAGTGGCGGGGGGGTGGGGGAGGGCGGCTCTACGTTGGAGCGCACCGGGTGCGTAGTAGAATTTGTGACTTCCTACTTGCTCAATGCAGATGTTTTCCCTCAAAGAAAGAAAAGAAGAAAAGAAGCCCCAGGTACACTCTGATTATCCAACAACATGTCCTAATTCTGCAATTGTACTTTCACAATGACCTATTAGCTCGAAAAACCAGCCAATAAAGCACAGCTGCCAAACAAACTATCAAACCAACCCATATCACCAAATTTTTAAGAAAACCCATAAAGGATGTTTGCTAGATCTCAAAGCTCCAAAGAATGGTTTTAAACTTCAAAAGCAGGGGGTGAAATGATCCAAGCTTACAGTACTTCCTCAACGATTCTCAAACTACAGTCAAATTATCCTTAATGCCTCATCATGAATGTACGTAAAAGAGCTAGCATTATAGATTTTAAAATTATTCGTAAAATGATAAATAAGATGAAAAATTATTAGGAATTCCGTAGTACTTTTAATCTAAGGATGAGTTTAAACGTAGTTTTGATCATGTTAATAATAAAATAATGGACTGATTAGAGAATCATTTTAAAGGGGATAAGAATTATTAGAACTGGTCATGAATCATATTAGTAGGGTTAGCCCGATTAAAAGCCGTGTGGAAGACATGTTAAGGGCATTGATCCAAGTTTGGTCATATGAATTCAATGTTGACGGATCTGATTATTCTATAAATTTCCCTCCTATTCTTTTCGATTCTCTCCTTAGTCCCTATTCCTATCTTGAGTATGGTGTATACTCAATTATCATTCCAAACCCCGTCTTGCTTATTTGTTTTGTATAAGTAGCACTTCAGTAGTACTTTTAATCTAAGGATGTATTCATTACATTCTGCGAATTTGTTGAATAATTGGGATGCCCCAGTACCATTCTCAAATTCCACTCTGGTTTCGCAAACTCCGAGTTCTTGAACAGTGAGTTCAGGAAAAGACGAGGCTAAGAAGCTTGAAAATGTGAAATACTTTACATAAAGTTCGAAAGAGATAAGGACTACCAAATCCAGAAATGTGACTTGGTGGTACACTGGTACTCGAAAGAGATAAATGTTCGAACATTTATGTGTGTGACAAGAAGCACATTTTCTCAAATTCGAAACACACAGATATGGAATTCTCTCACTTTGCCTATGAATCCAGGGACCATATAGATCAGTAAGGTCTGATGTTTACGAAGGGGAGACCGACATATTCTTGAGACTTTTTGAATAAATTGATACAAAATGCAATTATGAAACTTCATCCCAGTCGCAAGTTTCCAACTAGTTCAAGTAACCATAGGTAATCAAGATTGGAGAAAGGGAAGCAAGAAAGTGCACGTAATCCCATCGTTTTATTTACTATATTAACAAGCTGGAAATGTTCCAAGATCATAAGGCTCAATCAAAGTAATGAATCACAAACTTAATTCTTCTACTCCACTATATTACACAACCCAACCCAAAGATAGAAAACCAGAGAGGCCCGACTCATGTGAAAAAAAAAAAAAAAACCAAAAACCTGTACACTGGACTGACTTGTCCAGAGGATCAGTACAAAGAATGAATTCAATATCTACTCAAACATAGAAATGAATTGAGATTGATACAAATATATGAACAAGCTGATATTTCATTGTCGCCGCACCTATGAACCACAAGGCAGACAACATAATCTGCCGACTTGAATGAACAACCATTGCAGGGGATTTGGATGATCATAATCTTTCTCCTTGGCAGTTGGCAGTGGTAGCTCTGAAGGTAAATGTCGGTGAAATGCATCAACTGCAGCTGCAACTCCATCTTCATTTTCTAATAGTTTCGCTAGTTCCATTGCCCGATATTTTATCTAGTTCAAGTTTCAAAAGAGTAGTAAAACCTCGATTAGCAGTCCACACAATGGCAGTCTCTCATACAGGATAGAAACATGGACCAAAAAATAGGAACAAGGTGACCAACAAATTGTGGTGTATATTCAAGATAGTGAAACCATATGCAAAAGAAGAAACTTTATCAGGCTAATTTCAGAGAGCGTAACACTTATTTTACATGAACAGAAGTATAAAAATGCTTAGAAGATTTTAACTTGCTTCTCAGGGAAAAAAAAAAAAAGAAGAAGGAAAAATGGTGTACAAACCAAATATTAAAGTTGAGGATATCAAAGGAAGCAGTATTTGGACTTTCTATCACACACATTCAAAAACTCAAATTGTGATAATTGTAATTCAGTCTATGCTTAGCTTTAAAATGAACCCACTTGATTTGTGACGGGTTTAGAATTCAATTTTGATGATAAGATGAGTAAAATCACGGCCGAGAAAATTTAAGTTTAAGCTCATAAACTTTACATATAAAATGAGCTGTGTATCACAATGAGGATCGAGGAAAGGAGCAGATCAGCAGAATGGCAAAGAGAAGGGAATGTGCATAAACTAAACAAGTAGTCACCTCAGGTTGAAGCATGAATCGTATGGCCTCAGACAGGGCTTCAACACTCAACTCCGATATAGGAATAGGGGCAGGTCCGAGACCCCTTTGGTGGACTCTATCCCCCCAGAAAAACTGGTCTCCAAAAAATGGAACTATTGTCGTGGGACACTGCAATGAGAACAAGTTGTTGTTCCACCAATTGTTTGATATTGCAGATTTTATGTTTTATTTCAAATGAAAATTGACTACTGGAAGAAAAATAACATGCCAAAAATGGAGATGGCACTAAAAACATATATTTATCAGGACATTCATGATCTATATTCACATAACAAAGGTATTTACCATGAAACAGATAACTTAAAATCAGATGGGTCAGTTCATACTGAACCCCATGCAAATGCTTAAGAATGCATGAAAGAAATAAATAATGCAAGTACAATTGATTACCCCAGCCCTAAGTCCTGTAGCTGTAGTTCCAGCACCACCGTGGTGAACCTGCAAATCAATACTGTGAATTAATTAAACGCATTGAGAGTAGATGAGAAAACACAGATACAAAAACATCTTTCAAATTGAGTCTACAACAGTTGCACTCAGGACTGGGAGCTACCAACAAAGATTTCAGTCAATTCTTTTCTCTGTCCCTTAAAAAGGACAAGAGAGACGATTTGCTACGTTTGAGACTACAGAACCATACATGAAAATTCCTGGCTCCTCAGAATTTTATAAAAGGAAAACTAAATCAAATATGAAAAGTTGCACATTTATTCAATGTTTATGCTTAACAGAGAGTCTTTGTATTTTTTGAGATTTAAACTAATCGCAGTAATTTTTTCAACTGGTGAGAATAGAGAATTTATAATTTTCTATTGTATGAATCACAGGTTTTACATCCATAAATTTTTCTCTACTCAGTTTATTCTTCAAATTCAGAAATTGCGGAAAACAAAAGAATGTTTTTACTGGCAGACATTCACTCTTCTACATCACTGGAGAAGAATAGCAGGGAACAGGACTTACAACAGCAGAACATTGAGGGAATAACCAATCATGAGGGCAGTCGACGAGAAGAAATACATTTTCAGGAATTTCCACTGCAAAAGATTAACACAAACCAATAGTCTCAACAGTAACTTAAATAGTATGGCAATTAAGGCACAATGAAATCCTGTCTAGCTCAAATTTTATTCCAAGGTAAATAAAAACCAAAGAGAATACATCATTCACAGCTTATTCGGACCAACCAACAACATCTGCTGTAAAATTCCAAAGAATATCCTATAACCACTAAGTTTTCCAAAGTAGATTTAGATACCAAGAATGAGAATTTGCTGTCGACTTTAACTTTTTCATGCTTTTGCAACCTAATTAAGGTCAGCCATTTATTGATAAGATATCCCTATCCAGTACATTCAACTGACTTTTCTTTCTATCAAATTGAATGACCTTTAGATTAATTTGATTTGGGACTTTTGTGACTAAAGGGGTGGCACTAGTAGCGTATCACAGGTTTTCGCATGCCGCAGACATGTTCCAGTAAACCATTTGTTTTTCTACCCACTTCACTCAGCAATCCGAAGCATAAAGGGGTAATCGGAGTTTTTAAAGATGAGGAAGTAAACTAAAAATTGCAAAAACCAAAGGGAAAAAGTTGCTTGCCCCAAAATAAACAATTTAATTGAAGAACACCAATGCTCACATTAGTAAGGGTAGTAAAAGGCAAAAACTTAGGAACAGAATTCATTCTTTTGGACAAGAAGGAGCAATAGTTTCCCTATCAAAGCTATAGTGGTTAAAAATTGGAACAAGTATGGCAACTTAAGAGAATTTAAACAAGAAGATCTTACCAGTACCAAGATCTCCCCATCCACGGTCAATTATTCCCCTCTGCCCTGTATTCTCTAGTGCTTCCAGAATGATACTTGTGGTTTTCTTAGAATCTTCTAGAGGCTTCAGATACATAAAGAAACATAATGAATGTCAGCAAGAAAAATAATATGACATTTGACCCCCCAGACCCCAACTTGGTTGGGAACATATTGGGTGCGTTGATATTGATATTGGTAAGTTCAGAAAGAAGCTACACACCATGCTTCCAAAACCTATATAGATAGGTTTAGGTCCACTCTGGATCCAGTTGACAAAGTCTTCAGTGGGTTCATACTTTGATCCAAGGTTTAGAAAACAATAGCCAACAACATCAACTAGAGGCCCCCAATCTAAAATCAACAAAGGGAATCATACACATCAATATAAAACAAAGAACTAAAAATGAAAATGAAATTGAAAAGGGAAAAAATGATTTACTAACTCAAAAGTACGACAAGAACACGAAAGTACACATCTGAAGAGTTAAATGCAATCACAAAAACCGATAAAGAACAGAGGGCAGGAACAGAGGGACGAAAGAATCCGAACCATACCTATTTGATAACTTAATAACCTCTATACAATCAGTCAATACATTTCAATGTTCTAGAGTTCGCTAAATTCAATCTAGCAAGAACTTCTCATAAAACTAATTGAGTGCTTTCATATTTATCAAAATAGAAACAACCTTCCTCAGCTCTATACTTTTATTTAAAATATTAAACCAACACTTTCTGTTGTCCAGCATTGCACACATCCATGAACAAATCTACACTTTCTCTATCATTAAGCAAAGTACAAATGACATCACTGGGACTCAGAGAACACTGCGTAGATTAAAACCTAAAGCAAACTGGCTAGTTGAAGATATTTCAGAAATGACAACGTATTGAGCTAATGTGACCTAATGTATATGATGAACTGATTGAAAAAATAAGGATAGAAAGGAACATCAAGCTACTTGAGGATGGCCCTTCGCCCTCACTCAGACTAGAAACTATCAGGTTCAAACACAATTTGTTTAACGCTGCAACGACCTAAAACAAAAACAAATATTTAACTTGAAGCCACTGCAAAACAAATCAAACAATAAGTTAATTGGATGGTGCATACTGTGGAAAATTGAAGATAGCAGGAAACATGTTTTGAAAGAGTGATAGAGGATGTAATGGTTATAAAGAAGCAATCATAGACAAGAAGGAGAATGCAACAGCAAACTTGGAAAGAATTTCTGGAAGGCAATACATAATTACTAGTTACAGAATAGACAAAACAAAGATTGAAGTTGCTTGGCTCTGCTCATTTTATCCCTTTGAAAAACTTACAAATTAATCTGTCTTTTAAACAATGGGAGAAAAACCTTCCGCGAAAACTAAAAGTAATTATCTTGCGCTAGTTTTAACCAAATATAATTTCAAAATGTTCTTATTCCCTAAATGGTAATCATCATAAAGATAAACATTCAGGAGAGATCCACAAAAAATAGCAACAAGAGAAACCTCTCACAATTGATGAATAGCTATAAAATATTATTTCAGAAATTGGGAGAACACATTTGATGAGTCAAGATGTGCCTAAAGAATCCATTAGTATCTAACTAGCACGCGGATGATCGAAGGTCCAGAACTCACCCTTTGGTTTAGGCACAATATGTGGGCTCCACATATAGCCAGTAGGTAAATGAGATATTGACCCATGGTACGTACTGAAGTATGCAATAGGAGGTAGCTTCAGCTTTCTTTTCCTGAAATCATTTATATATCCTCGTACTGCCCACCATACGATTAAATCCACAACTATATAAGAGAGCTGATAGAAAAGGAAAAATTAGAGGGAAAAAAAGGCCAAACAAATGTTTTGCTTTTTCCTTGAAACTTGGCAGAGAACTTGGGACTTACCCAGTAACCGGCACTCTGAGGTACACGTGCCAATGGATGAGGAAATTCATACGTGGGCCTGCATATCAGAACCAGAATTCAGAAAGCCATAGTTAAACATGTTACATTTAAATTTCCACAATAGTTGAATTTCAAAATGATACCAAAGTTTAGTACAAATCTTCTTAGGCTGTACTATATATGTGTACAACACACACACACACACACACATAGCATGACAAATCAAATCCCGCATTGAGAATAAGAAAACAAAAACAAAAAAAACAAAAAAAACAACAAGAGCAACAACAAGCCTTTTGCCCACTAGGTGGAGTCGGCTATATAGATCATATGTCGCCATCGTGCTCGGTCCATACATAAATCATCATTCAAATTAAATATTTCAAATCGTTTTTGATAGTTCAAGATGAAAATAAAACAATCACAGCCGACAAGGCATACACATCTCTAGCTGTTCAGAAGTAATTGCGACAAAGCTTAACACAACATCCATCCCCAAACATATGAAGTAAGTCTAGCATCTTGGGAGACTACAGTGGATTTCAGAGTGAGTAAAGGCTAAGATATCCCTACAAGAGTGAGTACAGTGGATTGGGAGACTACAGTGGATTTCAGAATGAGTAAAGGCTAAGATATCCCTACAAGAGCCAATTAAAAACTACAACAAAATGTAATTCTACTCACGTCCAAGGCATGGTGAAGTAGATGTGGAGGGGAACACCAAGAGCTTCAGCAACATGAGCATGTCCTGTCATTCAAGTAGAGCTATAATGCATAAGAAAAACATTGTATATTGGTGTATATGTTCTTCTACATCATGGTCAATGAAAACAAGATACAAATTAATCATCATTTCAGTAACTCAAATATAAGTTACACAATGTAATCAGAAAACCTTCATTCTGATATCTACCGTATCAACGCAGACCCAAGATGCAACCACTACTAGCCCAAATGGGGTTTAATTAACTAACCGTAAGATGGGGGATTCGCTATAATTGCTTGAGCCCTGAAAGGCTCACCGGTTTCCTGATCTGCCTCTGTACAAGCCGGAAGAAGAGATTCAATGATTGCCTTCATTTGTCTTCTCTGCACAGAGATTTCTCCTGGCGAATATGGAATCAGACCTTTGTTGCGGGCCATATCTACGGAGGCAGGAAGTTACAGTTACATGTAAAAAAAGTAAACAAAGAAAAGAAAAGTAGCAATGGCCACACTTTTGATTGCACGGATCAACAGTCAAGTCACATAGACATGTCTCAGAAGACCAAGTGCTCAAATGATAATAATTCAGAGATTAGTTAGGGGAGAAAACTTTTGTCACTTGTTATTATTACCAAAAGACTACCATCTTTACCTATTTTAAACAGGGAATGCAATAAACTATTCAGACATGATCAGAGAAAAACAAATGTTTAGACTGACTGAAGTACAATGAAATCAAAGAAAGAAAAGGGAAAAATAATAAAGACAATAAAAACGGAAGTTTATGGGAGTGGACTAAGAAAAATTTAGACGTTCCCCAATAGAAAATAAATTAGTATATCAAGGACCTCTTACATCCTGCTAGAACACGAGGATCACCACCTAGAGGGAAAAACTCAACCCCAGCCGACTTCACAAAACTACGAAAATTAGCGTGAGTTGCCAGCCTAACACGATGACCAAACTCCTGCGAGCACAAAAGAACAAGTTTGGAGAGTTTAGGGGATTTCAGAGCGATGAAATAGGCGATGTCTCATGTTGACTCAAAGAATATTATCATATTCACATACAGACCAACAGGAATTTGACGACAAGCGAGAACGACAACCTCCTTTTCAAATTATAGATCCACTTACTAAAATTGGCATTGTCAAATTACAAATCCATTTCATTTTTCAAGATAAATTTACCAAGTTTTTTGCAATTTTATCTCCCTCTCTCTCCTTTTATAGATCATAATTATTCTACTCACTCTCTCCAATTCCAATACATTTAGCGAAGAACAAAACAGAATTTGTATATATAAATTCAACGGAAATTGTTTGCTCCTTAATTTCTGCCGAAAGGAAAGTGGACTTATAACTTGAAAACGAAGTAGTTATAATGAATTGAAGACAAAATACTTTTAAAACTTCCACGTCAAACACCAAAAGCAAAGATAGGATCCCAGGGAAATCAAAAATAAAAAAAGTTTACATTGTATCAGAAAACTGCCTATCAGAGATTTTTTAAAAATAAATAAATAAATAAATAAATAATAAAAAATTCTTACAAGTCAATTATTGGTACAACAAATTAATTCACTCATGCCATCGAAAACATCAAGTACCAGATCCAAATGAAATCTACAAATCAAGTATTCATGATATAATCTAATTCTGTAATAATACTACAGCGAACCACATGCTTGGTAATATTAATAAAGTTCAACTTCTAAAATTTTCTTCTAATTTTACTGCTGTGGTTGTAAGGAAATGCACATCAAAATGCACGTCAAATCTCAGATTTATCAGGAGTGGATACCAAAAAGCAAATAAACTCGTCATATATTTCCACAAATGTTGAGGAACTTTTGCAAAGTTGTTTCGTTGGAATTATAGATTGCATAGAATAAGGTGTATGTAAAGTATATATGTTCTACATAAATCCTGTTTTGCTGGCCAAATTTAGAAGGACACAAAGAAGATCAAGAGACTTAAGTCTGCGAAATTTAACCATAATAATTCACCTCATGGAGCAGAAAACTTCGCCAATTAACTTTACAGAAGATTGACGTAAGATGAGAAGGAGATGTGATTTAATTCTATAAAGTGTTTACAAATTACAGAGACTAGATATCTTCCACTTCAAGAAATCCGCAACTTGAGGCCTATGTTCTGAATGCACTATATATACCAAAATGAAGCAAATGGATTTAGTAGAACTTTACATTCTTTCTCACTCAATAAGATAAACATACAAAAGAGAGAGAGAGAGAGAGAGAGAGAGACAGAGAGAGAGAGAGAAGATAATGTAATAACATGAAATTTAAAGAATTCAGAAAACGTAAAGCCATTTCCAACATACCTGCAGTCTTTTAGCCATAGCTAGAAAAGGCTGAACATCTCCTCTTGTTCCAACCACGAGCATTGCAATCTTCAGTTTAGGAATTTTTTTGTTGAAATCAGTGCAAATAACATCTACATTTGGAGGAAGACCCTCAACTGAACCTAGCGAACCTAGCTCTAAGAGTTCAGAAGCCACAGGGGCACTCTTAGTGAGATCCACCTCCACCGTCCCGTCATTTTGAAACTTCACTAGGTCCATTATGAGCCATTCCTGAAGAAAGAAAAACAAGAAATTCCATTTGAGAATGCTAGAACAGGTTTGCATAATGGAGACAGCTGAGGAAGGCAAGGAAGCAAGAGTCCGGTGGGAAACAGATGAAAGAAATTAAAGGTAGAGAAAACATGCGACTATACCCAAATTTACCTTCTCACTCTTTGAAAACCTATCCATCTTCCGGTCATACATTGGACTCCCCTTTCTCTCTGTCATGGATCTCGAGTAAGCAATCCTATGGCTTTCAAGCAAGGAATCTCTAGGACTTCCCACTTCCGAAGTGCTGCTTTTGTTGAAACCTGAAATTATGTTCAAATAGAAAAGGAAACAAACAAAATCATTAAGGCCCCTATATGAGTTGAATAATTCAACCAAAACACAATTTTCAGAACATAAAATCTGGATATTAGAAACTGAATGGTATTGCAAGAGTTAGACCAGTGAAAATTGCTAAGTCCCACGATAAGGTATTGCAAGAGTTGGACCAGGGAAAATTGCTAAGTCCCAAGATAAGCTCTGAGCATGCAAAGTTGTAATCACAGTTATGGCTTGTTGCCATAGGATATCTCTGAATAAACCAGAGACCTGCTACTATTTTGGTCCATTTTTCCTACTATTCCATCTTCTCGATTTGGAAATGTTGCCATGGCTCATGAATCATGTCTGAGACAACAAAAGGATGCACAATGGCCCAACTGTGCTAGACTACCATATATGTTAGAGCAACAGCAGCTGGTGGAATGTTAATAAGGGTAAAGAGCTCAGAAGAAAATGGCTACAAATTGAGACCTCTGAGAACTTTGTGGTGCCTTGATGATTGAAAAGGAGAGAAATAGATGATTAATAAAATAGTTCTCTACTTAAGCTGAGCAAACATAAATACCATTATTCTTCTCATCCAATTTTAACAATCAGAAGAAAGTTACTCTTCGCATCTTTTCTCCCACCCACCCAGAGGAATCCATGTATCATAGTTTTAACGGCCCAGTTATCCTTTTAGAGATTGACACCAAACTTATAGAGATATGAAATGATTATTTTTCTGGCAACGAGGAACAATAACTTACACCAAAAGGCCCAGTAAACATTCAAAACGTTGTTCTCATAACGATAGAAAAAAATGATAAAAATACCTCAAAAAAATGATAAAAAGAAATGCAAATATAACACAAAATACCCTACTTAACAGAAAAGCCCATGCTAACCTCTCCGTGCCTGGGATGACATGGAAACATCCCTTGTTGGAGAAATGTCGATAACTGGTGAGTGCTGCACTGGTTTGGTTCGTTGGCCGCCATCTTCAGCAATAGAAGATGCTTCAGGTAGGCCATCCAACAACCTATCATCTACTGCAGGGGATGAGGTTGTCTCTTGCTCATCCACTGCATCAAACGACTCAGCTTCAGAGTTATCATTGGCAGAACTTCCAGCCACTTGTGAAACATAAGTTTCTGGAATCTGTGCTCCAATTACAGCATCAGCTCTTAGTTGCTGATCTTGTGAATTACTTTCTGTTCGAAAGCATGAACTTTTCTGCAGTTTCAGGTCTCCTATATCACCAAATTTTGAATAACTTGATGATTCACTGTTAACATGGGAACCCATTGCATCTGATTATATGCTGGAGCCCTCAAATTAAACAGTTGAGCGCTCTCCAATACTAGGTTCACACATAGCTCGGGCGAAACATAACCAAACACCCGGAAATTCCCCCCAAAATTCCGCTCAATATAATCAGAATTCCAGAATTCCGAAACTCTTTGTCGAGAACTGAAAATGCGGCTGCCAATTATGTAGGAAGACCAATAAGAGTGGGCAAGATGTACAAGGGCATCTCCAAAAATGGAAACACAGGCTGTCTCCTACCCACTAGTCAATAACAGGCGTAGAACGTTTGGTGCAGCAATCACAGCACACAACAAGTTCAACAAATTCAATAAATAGGTTCGAGCTTTGCAACAATAAACCAAAGCAAAGAAACACAGTAACATCGCAAATTCACAGATAAACAGGATTACCCCGCAACTAATTCATCCAGAGTTCTATCTGCTAGGAATGAACTAACCCAAGAACACAGCTGAAAGAAACATACAAACAAACACATGCAGTACAACTTATGAACTAAAACTCCACACAAGCTGAAGAAGACCAAATATGATTAAGATGATTAAAGGGAACTCAGAAATATACCTCGAAAACAAGGAGAACCTTTTTTTGGAGGGAAATCAAGCCACTCTTAACTGAAGAAAGCTCCAAACTTTTGCAAACTTTATGAAAAACCCAGATGATGCAATCAAATTGTTTCGGGTATAAAACTGGAAAGGATCCTACTTGAGATTAAAAAAGAAAGAAAGAAAGACGTTCAAATGGGCCTGCCTCCTGCAGAAACTACAATGGAAAAGGGAAGAAAAATATGGAAAAAGTATGGACTAAGAATTAAGAAGGAAAAATATCAGAAAAGAAAAATAATGTAAATAACAACAACATTGGGAAAAGGGGTTTTGTGATTTTTTTTTTTTTTTCCCTCGGAGATATTAATGCCACGATGTTTGGTTTTTGACTAATAAGTCAATTATTGAGAGGATTATGTGTTTCAAGAAGAAAACAGAAAAACATTTCTAAAATGTTGCAGCCGGAAATTATGGTTGTTAATTAACGTTGTTCAAATGTGATTCGTTGGAGCAGTTTTGACAGTTGGATGGGCCCAGACAGGCCGAAATTATGTTTTCCTATTGGCGGGAGAAAGTAGCCATTAGTTGGTCTAATTAGTGCTTAGTCGGGAGTTTCAGATTTTCAGGTCCAGCAGATATCCCCAGATGAAATGATTATTACAACCCGGACAGAATGGGCTTAAGGTATGGGCTCTGCTGATGCATTTCTAATTAAGAATTTTGTCTCAAGTCTCAATAACAAGGAATTTGTGAAGTTGAATTTAGCAAGGTGGACCAATTGTGTTTTTTTTTTCTTTCTGGAAATTTCGTAATAATGGAGGTTCATCGTTACTTTTAAGTGTCCAAAACATAGACGGATTGGATTTACTTTCAAAAACAAGCAATAATATCAAGTTCTATGGATCATACGAAAAAAACAATCGAACAATAATACATTTTTTATTATTCTATGATACCCCTGTCACAAGGTTAGCGTATTTTGTGGTAATGAATGATGACAAATATACTTATGTACTCTTGAATGATTATTCATTCTCGTGGTAACAAGAAGCTAAAATGTAAGTCGTTATTTTCAAAAAAAAAAAAACGCATAAAAATGTATTTATTTTGACTGATCACTAACAAGAAAAGTGATTTAGAAAGTGATTTCGCTGTTATTTAACTAGTTTTTCAAGGAAATGGAAGTAACTAGCCTACTTCTTTTTCATACATCCTACATCTTTTCTTTTTATCATTTCCCTTGTGATTTCAATCGCCATGTCATGGTGAAGAAGGGACCAATGTGTCAATATCTTTTCTGTATAGATATATTTTCTTTCGTTTTTCTGCCCAATATTTGCAATATATATGTAGCTAGCTATGTGGATTGTAATAAATTACTAAAAATGAGCTCATCCATCAACTTTCCCTGTCCCAATAAAAAAAAAAAGAAAAAAAGGATTTTCTATTTCAGTGCCGGAACAAATCAAAACAAAGTTCTGAGAATTTATGAGGAGAATGTTAGGAACAAAATTTGTTACCTCAGGTTCACTTACCATTGAAAAAATAAGTAGAATTTTTTTTATAAAAAAAAATTATAATATCGTGTGCGGTATATACAAATTGAACAAATGTTATGTACATATCCCAGTCCACAAACAATAAAAGAATTCACACTGTACAAGAGATTTTAATCACTAATTAATAATGAATTGCTTAAAAGAATTACTTGGCTGATGATGATGAATAAGGAGGACCCTGGCAATTAGAACTTGCAATTTCTTTCACAACCAAAGATCTGGCTCGATTAATCGTCACCAGGCACAAATAAACATGTTCTTCAAGCTCCTCAACCTGTTTCCTAAACCCAAAATCACTCTTCTTAAGCTCCTTCAATATCTGCCAAGAATGCTTATCTTCTCTTCGATCCAAAAAATACTGCATCATTGCCTTACTATGTTCCACTTCATCATGAAGCCTTGTCACAAGTCTACTCATTGTATCAAAATCCCTATTCAGAATATACGTCCCTTTGGCTGCCACGTCAAGCTGTTCTCCAATTTTCCTTAAAAACCCACATTTCATAACATTTACACTAAGCAGTTTCTTCTTCAATGGCTTCAATGGACAAAACCCTAATATGGCTGGCCCCATCACTAGTGCGACTAATGTGTGTGCTGCGAGGATCGTCGTCCCGATCGCGACAGCCCCACACGCCGTCATCGCGCATACGCCGGAAGCCTTGTTCAGGCATTTGATGAGCTTGATTTTTCGCGACACGTGTTTTTTCTTCAATTTCAAGTGTTGTAACACCGATGAATACTTGTCGTGGATGTCGACGAAATCCTGTCTATTAAAGTTCTCGGCTAGCGGGTTGTTGAGGAAAATCAACCGGCGAAGCTCGGAGACGATGAACCCTAATTGTTGAGGAGAATAATCATCAATGGTGTCAAGAACTTGGGTGACAAGTTGGTAATTTGATTGGATTTGATTGATGCTTCTTAAAAGATGGCTGCAGATTTTGGAAGCCTCGGCGCTAATATCGAAGTAGTTGAATAAAAGGGCTTTGAGATCTGATTTTCTTGAGAGGAATTCAGCTGATTCAAGGATGGTTGAGATGGCTTCTTGGCCAGGTTCAAGAAGAATGTCTGAGAATTTCTGGTGGCAATAATTTATGGAAGATGGTTGGTTGACTAATGTTTGAGCTTTGCTGAAAAAATCGGCGTATGATTTTGTTCTCAGTGCTCCCAGGTACTCCTCGTTGACATTAAGGTTTTTATTATGAGAAGATTCCTTCATTTCCTTTTTATTGCCTGCAATTTAACCACAAATATACAAAGGTCAGTAACCATAATATGTGATCATCAACATTGAAAAGGATCAAAAAATTGTTGTTTTTCATGTAAAATACTGACAAATGAAAAAGTTCAAAAAAAAAAACAAAATGATATCATTTTTGTCTGCTCAAAAACATTGTTCAAGTGAATAAAGCAACTTATAAGTCTTCCTTCTGCTTGATAACATTAATTTTTTTCTTGACAAAATACAATAGCCACATATAATTCATCTGACCTACATAATAATTGTGTAGAAGCTGATAAAATGTTATTATAATTCTTCTCTTAGTAAATAATTTGATGACCAACAAAACAAAATTCAGGTTGTTAGATTATTTTATGAGGCGGTGGCAGTTAAAGAGAATACAGAAGAAAAAGAAAAAGTACTAATTAATAATTAAATGAATTAATGATTTTGAAAGGGAAAAAAAATCAGTTTTCCAAAAGTTTGTCATGACGGATTTCCGAAACTTTATCTTCAGCTTATCAGAAAAAGTTTAGTACAAGAAGGAACAGAACCAGGTTTGAAAAGAAACATACTCCCAATCTATTATCGCCGAAATTTCAGAAGAACGAGAAAACATATCAAATATAAGATTAAAGATGATCATAATATGATACCTCTTTTGATGCTTGGATTCCTGAATTTAGCCCACATCTTGGATTTTTTTTTTTTTTTTTTTTTGGCACTCAAAAGGAAGATGATTGTAGCACTGAGTTTCTGATCAATTTGATGTTGCTAATTAAGCTTCTTAGCTTCCATGAAGAGCTTGAAAAATTCAAGCAAGATTTGAAGTGGAAAATTTGTGGAATGAATAAATTAAAGGGCCGGGTAGCTAAGTACAAGCTATACAAATAAATGATGCAGCTGAGGAAGAAGAACAAGTAGTTTGTCAGTTGGGCAAGTGAACCTCTATTTAAAGCCACTAGAAAAAGGGCAGTTTTAAAAAGCTTGAGTTTCACGTTATCTATTCATTTTCTGTTATCATCATTCTAGTTTCTATCTATCTTATGTCGTCCTAGTCTGATCTCATCTATTTTGATTTATTTTTAGTTAGTTTTGTGAGAGAGAAATTAATTAATTCACTCAAAAAAAAAAAGAAAAAAAGAAAAAGAAGAGACTTATTCCAACAGCTTTGCTAGGTTTAAGGCTAAAAAGTGGCACATAAGTTTGGCTTCTATGAAAAGGATTTAGACTTGCTGTAGTAATAAAGCCTTCCAGATATAGAATTGGGTAGCGCGTCTCCAAACTTCATAAAGTTCATAATCAATCTTTTTTTTTTTTTTTTGGTTTTGCTAATTTAGGGATATCTATAATTTTGTGTTGCTTAATTTGGCATGATTTTTAGTGATTGAACTAACCCTTTTCTGAAAGCAACATGTAGAAGCTAACTGAATCAGGTATGAACTTTGCTTTGGAAACAATTAGAAAAGTGTACATTGGAAGGCTTTCAACTGTCTATATCTTAACTCACGAATCTTTGCATCTATAATTCAAGATCCCTACAACCTAGTTGGAACAAACTGAAAAGTATATCCTTCCACGTACGAGGAATTTTTTTTTGTAATTTTTTGCATACATGTTAAAATCTCTTTAATAATGGAATAATAGCCTTATTCTGTTGGTCCAGTTTCTTTAGGTTTACGTTCTTTCTGGAAATTAATGAACCATTCACTATCAAAACTATCAATAGTTTTAGTTTGTACTCCTACAACTTGGTTACTACTCAACCCGTCTAACTCAATCTATATTGATCCTAAATTCAATTTTAAAAAATGGAGGAGTTAATTGGGAATCTATATATACATATATGATGGATCATTTTACTTTATAAGTTTTAATACGATCGACTAAAAGATACTGTCAATAATAATGATATTAATACGCCAGCCAGATAAAAATTACGTTGATTTATTGATTTGAACTTAATTACGTTTCATAATGTTTGTCACTTTGTCTGTGATTATTTCACTTGTGAAAATTTGTCATCTCCAGTGACCAGAAGGAACGAGCTCGGAAGGTGAGAAATATAAGAACTACATGACGAAGGAACCTAACAAATGCCACAGTCGACTATATACTTGGAGCGGAGAACTCCGGTAACTTGTAACAATCTTACACAAAAACACAAATTTTTGTTTGGTTAACATTTCAACAGAAGCGGAACGACAAAACCAACAACCTATTATATTACGTAGTAACATACTACAAGGAAATAAAAAATGTTTTTCTCCCGAATTTTCATTATAATAAATCATAAATTTAAACTAAAATGCGATTAGTAAATAAAATTAGAGAAAATATATTAAAACCAATTTTATAATCAGCAGTCCGAACAGAAAGGCTGAAAGGTGAAAGCTTCTCATAATTAGCTTCTTCTTTCTGTTTTTTTTTTAATGGATTCTGGATTAAATTTTGTGTGCAGATGGACTGTTATTTGTATCATTGTGCATATTAAAAATTTAAAATCCAATGTTATTACTAAAATAATTTTGACTTTTTCATCGTGCTCAAAATTTTTTATTACCTCCCTGGTTAATTAGTTTGTAAGACGAATCAGTTAAGATTGAATTCACCATTGACAAAATGAATAAGTTATAGGAGTATGAAAAATTAATGAATGATGAATGTCGATACCGACACAACTATGTAAGTTAGCTAGCCAGCCTTGGTGTTATATTCCAATCACGTATAATTATGTTTTAATTTGTTTCTTGCTCCATTTTTTCTTGGAAGCTTAAAAACTATTATATATGTCCCCAAAAAAAAAAAATTCACATTGAATTTGAAGATTTGTAGTAAAAACAGTACAAATTTCAGAACTCAATATAAATTATTTTTGAGATAGAAGAAGTATGATCATTAGTAATGTGATTTTGGGACGAAAGGAATAGAAATAGCCGGGGTTGTGGTGGTTAAAAGCTTGAGCAAGACATGACGGCGGGAAGGAAACCACACATGTAGAAGCAAATTAAAAGCAAACATAGTATCTTCAGTTCAACAAAATCCCGTGTTTTGAGCTGTAAAAACTATGGAAATCCGACGTAGGCAACAACAACATAATACCACTACTACTACTACTCCTAATACTTAGGCCGCAATTATGATAACAAAAGTTTTTATAGATAAGGACACAGCCGGCCAGCCAATTAAGCCAAACGCCATAAAAATCATCTTATTCTCTCTCATTTATTTCTCATGTAACATACGTCAAAATAAACGTGAGGTTTCTAATATGTGGACAAAAAAAAAACAAAAACAGCACAACTAAAAATAAAAGAAAAAAGATGAACACAAAAAACACAATAAATCCGGAGAAAGTAACATCCAAATTGCAAGCTACCAAACACACTCTTAAATGGTAGGTAGTAGCAGTAGTACTGATGGTGAGTAGATTGGTTAGCTGGGAGAGCTGTTTTAAACGTAGAGGGCTCAATTTTCGCGTGTTTTCTCCCTCATTTTTGTAGCTATTTATGTTTATCCTTAATGGAATATACACTTCTCAATCACAAAACTGTCTTTTGGAAAGACACAATCAAACACGTCTCCATGGATTAAAAATAAAATGTAAAAGATAAATTATTGGTGTGTCTGTGTTCTGAACGATTTACTCAATCAATTACATATGATATTGTTAATTATTGTTGTGTCTGTGTTCTAGTGATTTATTCAGTCGACTCTATCGATCTGATATTGTTTATAAATTATGACCGGAGAGAGTAACACTGCAGCAAAACAGACAATGGGAGCTTGTCAAGGGTACTAAATATGGAGTGTGATGCTTATTAGATGAATATGGGATATATTTTTATAATTTTATGTAATCGTAAAGCATTACTAGCTGTTGCTATAATCAATTAGATCGATACAAAGAGATACGGGTTAACAGAGTGAACTTAGCTCAAAATTTAGTTATACAGAAATCTTAATTAACTCGCTAGCTAGGGTTCTTCTTCTTCTTCTTCTTGAGAATGAAAGACTCCAGCGGGAGAAGATATCCATATGTAAATTTCCACAAATTGATCGCCTTTAATCTTAACTCATGAAAGGAAATTTATATATTTCGAGTTGTGTCTTTTTGGTAAGCATATAGATTTGTCATTATTTTTTTTATAAAAAAAAATCTAACTGTACGCATTCATTTATCTCATTCTTCAGTTCTCTTAACATTCGGTGGAACAAAAAAAAAAAAAAACCCTCTCCATTTCCGTCCAATAAAGTTAATAAAGAAAACGCAAACCTAAACCAAAACAACAGATGGGTAATTCTCAAATACTAGAAAGAAAAACTTTCAATTGTACATATTATTTTGTTAAGCCAAAACTTCATTTTCAATTAATTTTCGGCCTTTCGCCAATGTTCAAAACTACAAATTAATAAATATTGAAGCCGGCAACACTCTAAGAACTCAAAAATTAACACGATTACGTCGTACTTTGATCATGTTTTACTCATTTAGGTAATATTATTCAATTTTAAAATTTCCTCATATTAGTTAGTACGTCTGTTACCAACATTCATAAGGAAAGTGTGATTTATACGCATAAATGTTACCAACCAATTCAGATTCAAAATAGTTAGTACGTCTTTCTTCTCATGTAAATCACCATTATTATTATTATTATTTTCTATAAACAAGAATTTCTGTATGTTTTTAAATAGGAAAAAGATGTTAAAAAAAAAAGAAGAAAATTTTGGTTGCATCACGGGGAATCAAGTCATTTGGATGAATGTGGGTAGCAAAATGATGGAATTCATGGGATCAAATCGAAGTGTAACACCTGTTCTTGTACTTCCATTTATGGATCCTCGTAGACTCACACTGTGTGACACACACAAAATATTGCCATCATCAACAAAACAAAACAAAATATATATATATATATATGTTTATTAAAAAGGAAAAATAAAAGAAAAATCTTTTTTCATTTTCCTCAGACAACAAACGCATGAAACAAACGAACTAATCAATCATCGAACTGAGGAAAAACCAAATCCAATCATCCAAATTCCCAAAACCCTAGAAACCAAGAACCCGTACACACATTCGCCAGAATCGAGAAATCCGTTCAAACTCTGCTCTCACTGTTCCTCTGTTCTAATCACACAAAATCACGGTAAATTGATCGATTTATTTTTTTTTTTACTTACTGCCGGAAAATTTCATGAGAGTGCGCAATAATGGCGACGTCGAAGCTCATTTCCTCTACTTCAGCCTCCTCCCGCAACTCCGATCTCCGGCGGAATTCGCTTACAAACCCGGAATTTTACAACTTTCACGGCAATCACAACGACAAGCCGGATTTAGATGGGGGATTTCTGCGAAATGCTTACGGCGGACCCAGCAAGGTTGAGATTCAATCCGCTGCTCCGGCGGTGGCGGAGAGTAGTATGTTGAGTACCGAGATTACGCTTCTGGATGCTGCCGGAGCAATCGCGCCGATCACGGGCTCCGGGTCGTCGTCGTCGCCGCCGGTGAGGAAGAAGACGGTGGATGATATATGGAGGGAGATTGTGGCGGGGAAGGCGAAGGCGAACGAGCCTATGCCACCGAGGAAAGTGGAGTGTAAGGAGGAGGCGATGGAGGAAATGATGACGTTGGAGGATTTCTTGGTGAAGGCTGGGGCGGTGGATGAATCGGCGGTTTCAGGGGCGGTGGTGGAAGGGGAGGTGAAGCTTGAGCCGTTATCAGGGGCGGGGCCAAGTGGGGGAATGTTTTCTTTTGATAATTCGTATGTGCCGAGGCAGGGAAGTGTGGACAGTGCAATGATGAGCTATGGAAGTCTTGGTGGTGGAATTGGTGGTGGGAGAGGAAAGAGGAGAACTTCCAGCTTGTTGGAGCCGATTGACAAGGCCGCGGCGCAGAGGCAGAGGAGGATGATAAAGAATAGGGAGTCTGCTGCAAGGTCCAGAGAACGAAAACAGGTGATACTTTAGCTCGTTTTTGTTGATCTATTGGTTTTTTTGGTGTTTTAGTTGTTGTCCTGTTAGATAAGGGTGGTCTTGTGACTGTGATTGTAGGCTTACCAAGTTGAATTGGAGTCCATGGCAGTGAGGCTAGAGGAAGAGAATGAGCAGTTACTGAAAGAGAAGGTAATGCGAATAAGCTCCATTCATATCAATGATTAATGTAGCATTTTGTTTTGGTTTTTACATTATGGTTGATGCCCATGGTTGGAAGAAATGATAGAACACTAAGAAATTGTTATATTGTCAGTGTTAGTGAAATTATTGTTACCAGTTGCTGGCAATTTGTCGCCCTTTTGGCTGCAGCTTGCGGCACTCTTTGAGGAAATTTTAATGCTTTAACTTTGGTAGGTATCATAACTGTTAGTGAGAAGACATTGGTTATGACAAGTAATTTGAAGATGTAATATTTTAATGGTTAATCTGTAGAATCATAAGTTCTTGGTGATGTTGCTGTTCTTCTTGTATGGAAAAGGTTAGGAATGCTTATCTTCCTAATGTCATCAATGTATTACCCGTTAGAAGTTATATTCAACCATATATATTTCCCTTTGACTCCCTGTACTTGTTCTGTTGAAATCAGTTAACTGGTTAGTTTTTGAGCCGTGCAATACTTCTAAAACTTCTTCTCTTATAGTACACTTTATCATGAGCTACATGAGTTGTAGGTTATTGATTGTGACTGGAAGTTTGCGTGTTTGTAACCTCTATGTTGCTGGAAGAAAGAGAGTGAGAGTCAGAGGGACTTGTCCAAAATCACATATAGAAAATGCGTCACTTTTCCGATGTGTGCTTATACATCTATCTGGTTGGATGTTACATATTTCATTGTTATAGCATCTTACGTTTCTTGGAATCACATTTTATTCTTTGTCCTCTGTCTTCTAACATTGGTTAGATGTTCATTTGTCTTTTGACCCAAATAGAGTGTCATGGATGCCATTATGTTAACAGCATAATAGTGAGAACCTTCCCTGTGCATTATTTCTATTAGTGTGAATGAATGGGTTGATCACCATGAATCCACTCTTGTCGAGAATGAAAATTGTAGATTTTGTGTGTAGCCAGATATTTCTAGTACTTGATTATCTGATGTGTGTTGGATCTTTTGCCAAAATTCTGTCTTGCTGTTGTACTTTTTCAACTTACTGGCTAGTACTTTCTGTGCTTGATTTTTATCATTATTAAGTTCTACACATAAGCAGCTAATCTGGTCATGATTGGTTGATGTACTTTTCATTATTTTCTGCTTTTATTCTCTTTCATTTCTGTAAGCATCTTAAGAATGGTGAATTACACTATGTTATTAGTGGCATGCTTTTGTTTTTATTTGAAATTTGCCTTCCCACAGAGGTTTGGATGGTTAAGACTACTTTTGAGTTAATTGCTGTGAGTACTAATTCTTTTTTTTTTTTCAGGCTGCACGAATGAAGGAAAGATGCAAGTTGGTATGTCTTTGATATTGTTAATCTGTCTTCTTTCATCTGCTGTATGATGTGTGCAAAATGGATTCTACAATCTCTTCAAATATGGTATCTTGGTGCATTTAACTTGTGCTATTTACTTAACACTGCTATTCTATATGAGTAAATAGATGACTTTGACCTGCTTCTGAATGTTTAAAGAGATGATAAATTGCATGCTAATTGCCAAGGAATAGAGATCCGAGGGCTTCAAAGTCTCTGTCCTTTTTACAACCTCTTTCTAGTGCTGGTGGCTTGTTAGATTTGTTTCCCTTCTTATAGTTGAATTAATTTTTTAAGAAGTTCATCTGCTCATCTTGAGGGTTGACCTTTTCGTGTCATCAACTGTCAAAGCAAGTCGAAGCAGTACAAAATTCAGTTCCGGGTTAAAATGAGTAAGGGCAATATGCCGGAGTTGTACAGGATGTTTGTTTGGTAGTTGACATCTTATTTACCTTACTCACTTCAAAATATTTGATGATTGAGTTATATGTCTACCGATACCACTGAAACTAGGTTATAGGTTTAGCAACATTTACCTCAGCAAGACTGAGCATGAGATAAGCTTGGACTAATGCTTGAGTTGGAAAGGATTTGACTCTACAAGAATTGGCTTCTAATGGTCTGTACGTAGAGTACAAGGATTGTACGGGCGTGAGTATTTTACTGTTGAATTTCAAACTAGGAAATCAGCTTGTAATCTTAATAAAAACTTTGGCACTGAAAGAATAGTAGATTGACTGCTTATTGGGTGGGAACCCTTTGCCTCTTTGTGTCCATGATGTTCCTCTGCTGTTGTTATAAATGCTGGACTTGTTCTGTGGCAGTAACTGTGAAGTTGAACTCTCCCTCGATAGGCGTTATGATATTTAGGATTGAAACGAGTAAATGTATTGAATGCCAATATGGAAGAGCATAAAGTAGAATTACATTTTCAGGATGACTCTGCTTGCTAAAGTTGTTACTGAAATTTTAAGTTGATGTTGGAATGTATTGATTTGTGGGACTGCAAATGATACCGTGAGAGGTTGATTCCACAAACATTTCCAAAAATTTACTTGGGTTTTGATGTTTGATGCAGCTGAAGGAGAAGGTGATCCCTGTTGTGGAAAAGCGAAGACCTCGACGTGTTCTCCGAAGAGTTCGTTCCATGGAGTGGTGATTGGTCATATCCGCTTGTTACAGGAAGGACGTTAGTGTCATTTTCATATGGGACGCCACAATAGCAGTATTATAGCTCATCAGTAGTACTAATTCTTGGTTAAATATACAATCGGGAGAATGATTTTTGGTCAATTCACCTGTTCTAGCTTTTCTTTGCCGTTTGAAAATACTCATTTTTGCTGTAAAGAGAACTGTTTTGAGTGTGATCGGGTATGATCCCTCAGGCAATGTAGAATTTGTAGAGGGTAGTCAGGACTCAGGAGTATTGAAGCCAACGGGAAAGTTCTCTTTTGGTTGTGTACCTAGTTTATTATTACTATGTCACAAGTTACAAAATTCGTAAATGAGAATAGAAAGATGTTACTCTGCCGTGGTTAACTGCTTGTTTATTTTAACAGCATAAGGCACCAATTTCAGTTAGTTAATTACTCTGTCTCTGTAATCCCTGCATTTCTCTATACAGGAAGGTACATTGGATGCCCACAGAAGATATTCAAAACTGAGCCTAAAGGAATTTGAAATTGTAAACGACAAATCACAAGCTGCTCTTCTAAATTGACAAATGCTTTCTGGTGTCGAGTCTTGACTCTTGACTATTATTACTACGAGTTCCCATGATGATAAACCTTGTCTTTTCATCATAAACTCATTAGTGTTTGTGTTCACTTCACTTTCCCCCTAGCCAATGTAGGGTTAACTCCAAAGTTTGCTGTATTTTTTTTAACTAATAAAACTTACCTACCTAGCTTCCTCGAAGTACGGAGCCTTCTACCAGTTGTACATATTTTGGGAATTCTTTTGTTCTTGAAGATTTGATAAAAAAAAAATGTGACATTTCGAAGTCTTGCCTTCTGACTTCTGACTTAGAATTTTGTCTCCTAGTATTTGTCTGGGTTCATAAAGTGGAAAAACTTCCATTCTTTTGGTGCAAGCAGCTTCAAAGATTTAGGCAGTCCTGGTCCTCTTTGTTGTTAGTTTTTAACAGCATGTTTAGGGCTTTAATACCAGGGGAGGAGGAAGAAGACAAAAGAAATCGCACTCTTAAGATTTTATAAGGATTCTTCCCCCCTCTTCGAAGTTTTCAGTTGTGAATTTTTTGTAAAAGGCTAGGAAATGCAATTGAAATTTCAAAGTGTTGCATTTCCCAAAATAAGAGAAAGAAAGTGTAAAAGAAAGTGTTAATCTTTTAACTCTCAAAATAAGAGTTTTTGACAAACAAAATTATCAGTTTAAAAAGAATATATTAAAAAATACTCATTTTGTCCCAAAATTTCGATTTTCATTTCAAGTACAAATTGTATTAAAAGTACAATTTCAAACTGAAAAATAATTTTGGGACGCCGGAGGGAGTACAATGCTAAATATCAATAAGCAAATAGTGTAGAAAACTCATGAGAAGAAGATTTCTATCAAATTCAACAATAGTTGAAACCTGATTCTGTATCTTGAGCTTTTATCTTGAAGGATGATTCACTTAAAGTGTTTCTTTCCCTCCATTTTACGTTTTCAACAGCATATGAGAATCTATCATCTTATGTCTAGGACATTGTAGTTTTACTATAAAGTGAAAGATTTAAAAATAAATAAATCAAAACCATACAAAAAAGTATGTGAGTTAATCAAGAAAGAAAAGATTGAAATCCCCCAAAAAATTCCAAAAGCAAGCTATTATAACCACAGCAGAATCAATGATCTTTTTTTACACGAATTAAAATCTATAGCAAGATTCATATATCTAGCAAACCTAATCATTTTAGAATAATAATACCCATCATCACTTCAATCACTACCACCTTAATTTACAGACATTCACAGAGTTCACTGCCCTTTAAATTCTCTTTTCAGAATGAAAAAGAAATTTCAGAGACAAAATCATTACTCCTTTTTTCTTTCACTTTCTTACTAGTAAATCTTAATCTAGGAGTAATTACCATTAACAAAGTAGTAATCCACAGACACATTCTCCAACATCACCGTTTTTATGTTCTGTCCTCAACCCATTCAAACTCTTCCCGTGAAAAGCCAAACACTCTGACATTTCTTTATGTCTATAAAGGACTAATATTTCATCCCCACCTTTGCCACCTCCACCGCACTTCACATTCCACAAGAACACACACACACACACACACTCACACTCACTCACACTCACAGGAAAGAAACGAACTGCATTTATATAAAGTCAGAAAGTAAATTCTCTGGGTTGCATTCACATTAAAGACCCATTTTTGATTGTCAAGCTGAGAGCTTTTTCTTCTTAATTCAACTAAGAGGTGAAATGGGAGTGTACTGCATGATGGGATTTCTGTTTGCAGTTATCCTTTTGATTTTGCAATTTCAATTCTCTAATTCAGCAACCGTTGTGGTGGATGGTGTTTCAGAATGGAGGAATCCCACTGTTCAAATTGGAGATTCTGTCAGTAAGTGTGATCATAACTTTTGATCCCTCCTCAAAATGTTGAATTTTTGCTTTCATTGTGTTCTTTTTGCTTAGATATAGTCATGAATTTAACACAAAGTTTGTGTCTTTCTTGAATTTCAGTTTTTCAGCATAAGTATCAGTATGATCTTTACATTTTCAGAACTGTAAGAGCCTTCAACAATTGCGACTTCAGTCAGGCCACTCTGCTTACCAAAGCTAATTCCACTTCATACATTGTAATTCTCATCTCTCACTTTGTGTTTGTGTTTTTCGTGCAAGAATGATACTTTTGAGTTATTGGAGAAATAAACTGTTTCAGTCAAATTGTACTAGATGGGTGGTTTAGACCAAAATTCTCCATGTAGGTTCTGTTTTCCATGAACTTGATTTGCTGTATTTTATAGTAAATTGTGTTGCATGCATGTCTAGTAAGTCAAATGTTTGGAACTTGATTGCTAAAATGCCGACAAGTAATCCTTGTTGGTTGACTAATTTATCGGGGAATGTTTACTTTGTTTGATGAATTCCAGTGGCACCCTTCAAGGAAAGGATTTTTCTACTTCTCATTCAACAATGGCTCTAGCAAAGCATGTCAAGATGGACAGAAGTTAGCTGTTGAGGTGACTTCATCAGCACCTCCCAAAAGCGAGGCGGCGCCGGCGCCATCACCCAATCCGCCACCTACAATGGCGCCACCGCGAAGTTCTGGCGGGGTGGTGTCATCTTCTCCAGCATTTCCTTGGCCATTTAGGCCGAGAGATGCTTCTACTTCACCTAGCCCTTCACCAAGTGATGAAATGTTTCCTGCCACTAGTCCTATGATGCCAGATAAAAGTGGAATTCCTTTCATCAATAGTAATCCTGCAGTCCCTCTTCCAACTGGTGAAGTTGATTCTGCTACCATTAGGCCTTGGCCTATGTCTGCAAGCCCTGATAGACAGGTGAACTGAAGATAGCTAACTTCTATTTTAGTGGTTAATTTACACACCTATTTAAATTTCCCATAAATAAGCAAGAGCACCAAATGACCTTTTTCTTAGTCATTTTGTTTCGAGTAATGGGGTAGATTGTCTTTAAAATATTAGGAAATAAGTTATGTTTAGGTGGATGGTGTTGTCCTTTATCATGCACCAGTGAAAAAGAAAATTTTAGATACAGCTAATTGGATATTATTGGATGGAAGATGTTTACTGATAAGCTAATGATTGAGAATCACTTAAATGTGCAATTAGATTAGTATGCAATCCAAGATTAGATATGTATGGTTAGTTTTAGCATTGTGCAGTTTCACATCATGATTAAATGGCTGTTATTTTTAAACCATTCCCCGCGATCATTTTGCAGGTAGTTGGGATTCTTGCAGTTCAGAGAGCCTTGTTTTGCATCATTTTACTGGTGCTTTTCTGAAAGGCAGAGGGTTAGAGTAATATGGTGAGCATGTAAATTTTAAGGAAAGATTAGTAGGTTTTAAATGCAGTGGTGATGTAGTATTTATATTCCAAAGTAGCTTTAGCCTTTAGGGTGATATACAATCATAGTGTGTAATATTGCTATTTCGGCCCTACTTTGGTCTCATTAGCGCTTTGTTCTTTAGTCTTTAGTTTTGGTCAGCAATCAATTGCCTTTTTTTGATATTATATGCTTCTTTGCCCATGCGATGATGAGCTAGTTAGACCTCGCAGAACACAAATGATTAGATACAGATGTAGCATATGAACAAAATGACAATAGAGTTTGGTACAGTTTTCTTGCTTACTTGCCTGTGACCATACTATCATTTCAAATCTTTCCCCTGCAATGTGAGCTTAAAAGCCACAATATTCTTCTCTAATCCCTTCTCTTTCCTGGTTGGTTTTTTGTTCGGATGTAATGAACGACAAAGGCTACCAGAGATAAGAGTAAGGCAGATCCTGCAAGAATAGGGGTACATAATCTGAATCCTCCCCTTTCTTCATGAGTGCTTGAAGGCATACCTTCTTGAAGTTGAGCCTCATCAGTATGTCTACCATATGCAGATTCATCCTCTTTGTCGTCTTCTTCGACATTGTCTTCATTTACTTGATGCTCATTAAGCTGATTTTTGTTGATCTCCTGTTCCAAAGGCGGACATTGGTCATGCTCCCCTTGCAATTTTTCTTCATTACTTTGGCTCGTTTCTCCCTGCATCCCAGTTTCAAACTTAGAAGATTCTTTGATGGCCTCTTGATCAACAAGAATAGGGGTTTTTGCTTCTTCTCTTATTTCGTTGGCAATGTTTTTCATTTCTTTGATTGTATCTGACTCTACATGGTCATGCCCTGATGATTCTTTCTGTGGACTACCATTCTGGTCGTTTTGATCTGACATCTGAGTTTCTTGTGGATTCACAACATCTGATCCAGTTTCAACAGTCTCTTGAGCACCAATCGTTTCAGGCACTTGGGTTGAATTCTCCTCTTGCACAGATTCTTCCTCTTTCCCTTTTAGTTTCTCAGGCTGCAAATCTTGTTCTTCTGGAAACTTATCAGGCACGATCTGCAAAGTTTCTGAGCCTTGTCTATCAATCTCCGGTTCATTCACTTCCTGAATGCTGACCCCTCGAATCCCTTTTTCTTTCTTCGGCATCGAAATTGTTAACTTACACTCGTCATCATCAAACCTGGCTTTGATTTTATCCAAAATCACCCCATCAGGGATCTTGAAAGCCTTCCTGAACTCCCTCTTTTCGGTTTCCTTCTTCTGCAGTTTCCATCCCAACATAACAGTCTCCTGGACCAACTTTTCACCCTTTATTATAATCCTTGTTCCATCTTCATTGATCTCAATCTCAATATCCTGTTTCTTGTACCCTGAAATTCATTCAAGCATTGTGATACCCCAAAAAAAAAAAAAAAGTACAATCAAAACAGAACTTAAAGAACATGAAATTGCACAAAAAAGTGACAACCTTTGAGATGGGCTGTGAGGATAAACATTGTATCTGATTCTGTAGAAATAAAAAGAGGGCCTGCTCGATCTTTGGCAAGCAGGAAATCTGCTGAGCTGAATTCATCTGCAACTCTTGTAAGCTTAAGTTCCAATTCCAGTTCCATCTTTTTGTGTACTTTGTTTGGCTTAATCAAATTGAGTCACATAAATAAAAGCTATTAATTTGGTTTCTATATCATCATCATTTTGTTTTGAAGGGTGGCAAACTACAAAACCAACTTTGATAGAAAAAGCATATGTACTTTGCTTCATTCGACTGAATTTCAATGAGACAAAGTGTTGGGTTTTGGGCTCCCACCAATGTGGAGCAAGAGGCCATTCCACTATAAGAAGATTTAATGTTTTCTGTCTTACGGGCTGAGAATATCTCCAACCATTCCACTATAATTTGCACCAAGTTTAGTATAAAAATAAAATATTTCGATAATCTTTTTACACCAAAGTTCTTTGCTCTCCAACCTTGATGCATCAAATTATTTAAATATTTAATGTTTGAGGTTAAATTTTATTTTGTGCTTATTTAAAATCTTGAATTTTGTGATTTGTGATAATTTTATGAAATTTATTTCGTATAATCGCTTTTTATTTTATTATACTAGTATCTTTTTTTCAATTTTTTATATTAAATTTTAATAATAACTAAAAATTAATTTTTTTAAAAAAATAAATTTATATTCAATATGAGTCTTATTTTGAAGATCTCAACAAAATATTTAATATGATATAATTTCCACAACATAATTCGTTTTACAAGTTCAATTACATAGCAAATATATATTTAGATCAAAGTAAAAAGATAGTGCACTAAAAATAGTGTAATGGACAATTTACACTAAATCTGGTATAACACTATTCATTGTACTAAAATAGTGCAATAATTTGGTATCTTCGTTGGAGTGCAATTTTTACATAAAAACACCATATTTAGTACTTTGGTGTCTTGGTTGAAAATGCCATTAGTTCCAAAGGTTTAGTTTCACATAAAACTGTAAAATTTGTGATATTGGATCCTAGGAAATTTAAGGAGAGAATGATGGGAACTGGGAAGTGTCCTGGAGTCAGTCATTGGTTAAACTGCAAAGGGAATGATGTATGAATGATGTATGAGGAAAGAGAGTAGTCAATTTGAGTGAAATGTGATCTATTAAGGCTATGTTTGATAATCATTTAACATAGTGACTTAATTTATTTAAGTAGTTAATGAAATTAAATGTATTTGATAATTGTTACTAAAAATTCTTAATTAATTAAGTCTTGAACTAATTAAGTACTTATAAATAAAATGCGTTTGACAATTAAAATTTCACTGTATGAATTAATTAAGTGCGTTTGAATAATCAGTTCAATTGTGAGCCAGAAAATAAGTGATAGGCCTACTATTTATCACTTAACACTTAATTTCTGTAATGACTCTTTTTTTTCTTTTTTTTCTTTTTTTTCCCTCGTCTTTATTTCGACGCTTATTTTTATATTGTTTTAAAGTTTTAATTTTCTTAAGATAAATTAATTAAGAGTGCTTAAATTTGAATTTATATTATGAGTATAAATGTTCTCAAACTTTCAAACTTAAATGAAACTAATTTTAATACATAAAATTTACTACATAACAAGGTATATATATATATATATATCGATATATGTAAATAATCTAAATTTATATATTGATTATTTACCAAGTGTAATATTCACTTTCATTATATATACCAAACACTTATGTTAAAATTATTATTTTATTGTTTAGAACAAAATATTAGTTATTTTTCTATTTAAAAGAATTTTGTTTATAATTTAATTTTAATGATATAAAAAATTTAAATAACTTTCAGACATGAGTATTTAGATTCAATTTTCAGACTTCAGACTTCAGTTTTCAGACATCAAATTCAGATGTTTTTATCAAACAATGTAAATTCAGTCTTAGACTTCAGAATTCAGTCTTTAATATTAAGTGTTAAGTGTTCAGATTCAGACTTCAGTGTTTAGTCCTTAGCGAGAGATTTCGTTTGTATAGTACCTCATATTGGATTGGATTTTTAAATTTGATTCTTTTCCGATTTCCCTTATGATCATCAAAATTACTTAATTTTATTCCTTGTCAACATGAACCGTTTGGCTCAAATCTGCTATGGCTTCGAACATCTGCTACTTGAAATATGATTGCCCACTATATTAATTAAAGACTTGTTTGCTAAAATTGAGTGTTATTAGCTTAGATAACAAGGGTGAAAAAGATGATATTTTTTTTTTAAAAAAAAAAAAATGGATCATACCAATTTTTACGATGTTTTGATCCAAAATAATTTAAGAACCATTACTATTTAAAACTAATTTTAATGAAAAAAAAAGTTGATGCCCTTTTTGTTACATCTACCACTACCGTCATGCAATCACCGAATCAAATGGTTAAGAGTTTGGCACCCAAAAGAGTCTGGATGATGATTAGTACATGTATACAGTACGTGTTTACCATAAAGTCCCATGGGTTGATTTCTTTTTAAGAGAGTATTTTGTTTTAGGATAAATAATTGATCAAACTCTTACGGACTTTCAATGTAGAACTGGCAAAATTGTCGTCGACGGAAAAAGTGACTAAAATGAAATGTTCCCTGGCAATATGGCCATCAATTGCAAGATGTGGATATGATTAAAACAACGTACAAGTTGATGTCAATTTGGTCACATTCTGTCCAGATAACCTACCATTTATGATTTTGCGCAATGCAGAATCATACAAAAAAAAAATCACCAACACAACTGAAAAAACTTTAGGCATTTAAAGAACCATTTTTATGTTGGCTAGATAATCATGACAACTCTATTGCCAGAAGCTAGCTGGATATATATCTATAAGATTCTTGTATTGCAAAATTAGAGGGCCTCTGCAATTTTTGGCCTCTCAACATTTCTATGGTGGGCTATTGATCGATAGAGACAGTTGACAATTATATGAAAAAATGTTAGCACAATCGCCAGCCTTTCTCATGTACCAAATACTGAAATTGGGTGATTAAATTAGGTGATTAATCAACATCATCCATATGGTTTTCCTGAAGATATATGAAAACTAGTTGCTGCCTTTTGCACTTAATATCACTTGGAAAGAGCTTTAATTTCAATGAATGGTGATGATTTTAGTCGCCTTTCAGCCTTTCCCTAGCTTTCTTACCGTTTTAGGTCTTATAATCAGAATTATTATTACAATATTACAATATTCTGATTTTACAATATTCCATTGACCTTATTATTACAATATTCTGAATTTAAGATGGGTCTCAAGAATACTTTCCTAATACGAATAGGGTTCAAAAAACTAGGAGTAGGTTTATTATCCTTATATATTGTTGATAAAGTAAAATTTCAATCACTTTTGATAAAAGTCAATGAAAAAAGATAATTGTAAGAGAGATTTTATCACATACACAGATACACTGTTATAATAATTGCTATACATGTACTATTTTAAGTGTAACACACATAATTTAAATTTTAAGACGGCTGTAAAACTAAATTAGGAGCGTTAAAAACATCATTTTTCTTGTCTCAATTCACCCATTATAACTACTACTCCGTACTAGTTCTATATTCCCATTGTAGGGGTCAAAGTTGACATATTATCAGTCCTAAATCAATGGATGTTCTAGAAACGGTCAACGTTATAATACTTTTTTTTCCTTATATTTATTAAAAAAGTTATAATAATACATGTTGGAACTTGGAAGTGAACGATAGTCCATAATTCTACTAGTAAGACATTCTTCATACACTTCATTGGTCAACTAAAAACTAATGGCAATCTGACAATGCATTTTGGTCAACTTAAGAACTGCTAATTGTATTTTGTTAATTAAAAAAACGTATGACATGTTCAATGATTCTGGCAGTCAATCCTCCTAACCTCAATTGCTGTCATGGACATCACATTCTAACCTTGGTGTTAGTGTTGGTTATTTTCAAACCAACGTGACTACAATCTATAATCAATGCCAAGCTAATAAAACAAATCATTTTTTTTTCGTATTCTTCCTCTGTCCCAAAATTATTGTCCAGTTTGAATTTTCATTTATTGTTCAATTTCTACTGAAACTGAAAATTCAAACTGAAAAATAATTTTGAGACGAATGGATTACTTATTATATCCGATGATCGAATCTACTTTCTCTATGAATGAAGATTCGAGTCTTATAAATTACTTTTGAGAGACAAAATTTGTATGTCTATCTTCCAAGTGAGTAAAAGAATATTTCAATGCCAAACGAATAAAATACTTCCAACATTGGTAAGCACAAATTCAAACGCTTCATTTTTAAGTTTTAACTCTTAAAAATAACAAACAGGAAGGAGTATCAATTTTCAACCTCTGTATTGTTTTGGCCTTTTGGGTGAGGTAAACAACGTGCTCACCATAAAATGGCTGGGTCAAACACATTACTACGGTACTGTGTGAGCTTAGAAATCAATCTCTTAACATATTTGCTGATTCCTCCTCATCCAGCTTTTGAAACTTGACAGATATTTTGGTAAATTTTGAGAAGACAAATAACAAGCAGCAAGCAACTAAAAACATGTGGGAAATGGTCAACTTTTAGTTATATTATCAGAAGATCAAAACTGACAGCGCCACAAACTGTCTTGTCATATTCACCATATCTGATTGTAACTGCCTTCCATTGTTGAGCAATGAAGATTTCTGCCAGCTCTTCATGCTGCTGAAATTTGCAACAAAGATTGGTATATGATTGTGGTGCTTTTGAGTCAGTCCAAGAGGGCAATAATTAAACTAGAACTGCCCCAGTATTGAAGAAGAAGTCAATACTCAAGAGCCAATAAACAATCTCCCAAAGTTTATGACCAATTCTTTCTTTTATGACAGCTTCACAGATATAAAAGTTTCAGTTTTCAAAATATTTTAGGACCTTTTGACTGTTAAAACATACGTCAAATTGAGAAATGAAAACCTGTAATCAATCAGATAAGCTATGTAAAAGAAGGCAGGACAACAACACAGATTTCTGCGGATTCAGAAAGTGATCAAGGAATCAGTACTGTTTCATTTACAACGGTTCTTCATTGGCCATTGAACAGATGAACAAAAACAGATGTTACATGAATGCAAATCTGGTTGAATAATCAACTGCTAAGTACCAACACAGAATATGCAGAATAAGCATCATTAACAATACTGCAACTTGATATCTCCTAACTTATCTATACATATATGATCTCTGATAGATACAAGGCCTTTTTTTTTTTCTTTTTTTCCCTTCAACTTACTACCTATATCAACCCTTTTATTACTAGGCCAATGACTCATTCGATTCTCATCATGGCCAACCAAAATCAAAATTTGGAAGCTCTACATTTTAGTTGCAAGAAGGCAACTTTAAAACTCTATCAATAATCATCAGTTATGACTATTTGCTCCTCCAATGTTGCCTAGACCTTCAGTTCGGCTGCGAACAATCCGGTGAAACACTTCCCTGACCTGGCGCTCCAATGGATCCAAACCATCCTTTACTGCTTCATGAACAAGTCCTAGCTTCAGAACTCTCTGTCTTACTTCTTCCTCCTTCTCTTCCGTAAGAGGGAACTTGGCCGAATCTGCCAATTCATCGAGGTGCCTGGCACATTTTGCAATCTCATGAATCTCCTTCAACAATCCACAAGCACTCCTCCTATCCTTTTTCTTTGACTCCTCCACTATCCTCTCATGAAGAGATAGCATCGGCACAGCCCAAATGTACTGCCTAGTAACAGAGAAATGGGTTCCAAGGCCGCGGTCCTGACAGGGAATAGCAGCAACAAGAGCCCACATTACAAACAACAGAACATAATTCATAGTATAAACAGCAATAGCTAATCCACTCGAAGCCATCACTTCAGTAGCCCTCGGTGCAACTAAATTATTGCCAATTGCCTGCAACTGCCTAGCAGCAGACCAAGACCGCGAAACACTCCAAGACAATGATCGAAAATGGCCTAATGACCTCTGATCCCTGTGAACATTCTGGCGCCCAAAAGACCTATTCCTATGAGCATGGGCATTAGCATCCCTATCATCAAGCATACCAATGGCCAAATCAGCCAGAGCTTTCTTAGCACGGCGGAAATGGCCTTCTCCCAAACTCTTATTACTGTCTAAGGCGCACAATACAATTTCCAATTGTTTCTGCCACGACCTAATCTGCTCAAGCCCATCACGGATGGCATTACAAACATCTAGAGCCTTAACACTTCTTTCGAAATATTCAGAAAAATAACGATCCATAGGAGCTCTGTTCAAGTAAGCTTTGTTATTGAACATCAACATCCTGAATTCATCTTGACAACAAAGAAAAACATCTAGAAGTTTACGGATCCAAGAAATTGAGAGTAACTCACTGGTATCAGTCTGTAAGAGATCGTTAAATCCATCGGAAACAACTTTCTGGAATGATTCTAGTTCTGATTCTAAATTGGTTGACCCAGGGATTGGTGACTCCATAGAATGAATTTGATCCCTGCGAATACTCAGAAGCGAACGACCCAAACTCGCAAACGATGAAGCCGCACCTTGAAATTCTGTTGCTGGCATTCTTTATCTCACATCAAACACCAACAAAATTATACAGTCCCCCAAAATAATTTGAACTGAACCCTTCTTTAACCAATAACCCACCTGAGAAAAACTCCCAAAGATTACTGTTTTATCAGCCCAGATGAAGAAAGATCGAATTTTTCAGACAAATCCCAGAACTAACACACCAAAAAATGACAAAAATACACAAGAATTCTGATTGAAATGAAGATGATGATTGGAATGCAGAAAGACTACCCACAGAAATTCTTTAGAGACTGAACAAAACAAAACCCACCAAATTAATTAAACCAACAAAAAATCTCAAATGAGAAATAAAGCAAAAGAATTTCCAATTCCGATGAGATTGAGAGAACAGGATTGGAAAGAGAGTGAGGAAAGTAAGAAAGAGAAAGTGAAAGGGGTGGATGTCTGGAACCCTACGAGGAAGGCGAGGCTCTTATATTGGGGCGGATTTTGGAATTTCGGACCGCGTAAATATAATGGTAAAGAAAACAAAAAAGAAATATACATTTTTCAAAATGATTAAAATTTAATAACTAATTAATTAGTGTTAAATATGAATTACTATAATAGGAAATTATTGAGGTTTTTTTGGGAGGGAGTAAAAAAGAAAGCGAAAAGGTTAAATATGTGGCGCCATGGTAGTGGGTCCCAAGTGGCTCCTTTAAACACGTACCATAACACGCAATGAACACGCATGGTTTAAATCTAATCCCTCAAATTCTCTTAGAATCTTTCATCTTAGATCTTCACCGTTGGTTTTACACTTTTGGCTCTCTTTTAACGGTGTGGATTGAGTGGATGATGTCATACTCGGTACGGTTGTTGATTGTACTCCGACAAATCTACTGCTTACCGTCTTTACGTATTGACTGTTTCTACTGTTTGTTTTTTGTTTTACCTCTTTTCGTACGTTTAACGTGTACGTGGACATCTGTATACAGTGCAGTAAAAACTTTGATACTGTCTCTGTACAGAATATTACTGTTTTATGAATCTAGTTTTTACTGGAGACGCATTATCACTTTGGCATGGTCTGAATATAAATAAGATTGATAAAAAGATTTATGAGAAAAAGAAAAATACTATTTAGCAGGAAAGAATATTTTGATTCAAAGGTAAAAGTGCATGGTATTTTAATATTTTTGTTTGATTATTCGGAAAAAAAATATTTTTTGTTTGAATAGTTAAAAAGATGTGTAAAAGGTCAGTAAATAATTTAGACTTCCCCAGGTTTAGTAAATTGTACTAGTAGTATTTTTTAAATTAACATATCAATGGAGGTGAAACGTAGTCTTCCCCAAATATTGTTGATGGAGGATATATGGTAACACCGGGAGTCCCACCAGGATATATGATTAAGAGATTTCAACTGGATTAATTAATAATACGAATCAATTCAAATTCATCCCATATATGGGAGAATTTTACGAAACTTTGCTAGCGGTAATTAACTCAAAAGGTTAGTACTACTACTCACAATCATAAATAAAAAATAAAAAATAAAAAATGTTTTTGATGAAGTGTCATGCAGGTTACACGTAATGAACCATTTGATCATACTGAAAAATTAAACTGATAAAAATTAATAATACGTGAAAATTGTAATAAGTAACTACAATTGTAGATTTTCATAATATTTTATATTTTCTGCTAAACAAGTTTGCCATTTGAATGGTTCCATTTTTTTTTCCTGATAATTTTAAGCACTGTCATTATCGTACTAGTTTTCTTTTTTTTTTTTTCGTAAAAAAAAAGAAGAAGAAGATAATAATATCCTATCTCACCCGTCCATGTCCTTTTAGGCTTTAGGTTTCGCTTCTACTAGTATATGTTACTTTTTCAAAGTGCCATTATAATTTTAAGGGTTTCAATCATAAAAATCATTGTCAACAAACCAAATTTGTGTTGGCTTATTTGCTGATGTGATAGCCTGAATTGAAGGCTACATGTGAAATCTGGGATTACTTGAAAATAAAATTAGTGTTAATGCCACTTATTGACGTGAATATTATTGATTATGACAATGCGTATAATTTTCTACGATTTCGTGTGCAGCCCACTTCTTGAATTGAATTTCAAAAATAGCAGGCATGGCTGGTCAGCGTGTATTAACTACACAAGTTTAGCTTCCTTTTTTTTTTTTTTTTTTGGATACTCATCATCATTGGAATGTAACTATTGTAGATTTGTATCACGTAAAATTTTGGAATCAGACGAAATAATTAAAATAAAATAATAATTTTTGGAGAAAGTTATAAAATTTACAAGAAAAATAACAATAAAATAAGGAGGTGATAGTATTAAAAACACTTTAACACCTGCATCCTATTTTCCTAAACCAATAAAATTTTGGCACAATTGTTTTCTTTTTTCTTTTTTTTTTGGTTTTCCTCCCTCTGTTCTAAAAACAAATAAAAATGTTAAAATATAATGTGAACTGTTTTGTTTGGGATAGAGTAAATATTCTTTATGTAGTGGAATTCGAAGTTTACTTTATTTTTTAATTCATTATGGTGAAACTTTCAAAATGGATCGGGGATAAAGAACGCTACCAAACTTTAATTTTGTGGAGGAAAAAAAAACTTTTAACTAAGTGCACATATGTAGGCCAAAAAATAAATAAATAAATAGATTTCTTGTAACGTACTCCATGAGTAGTAATTAGTTGCTCATGATGCAGCCATGCAGGAAGGGTTAATTAGGTTGACCACGTGTGAAAAGGTAAAAAAAATCATACAACTCCGTCAGACGGGCAGTGAAAGTAATTCACACGTGTGGACAAGATGGAGGGTCCACGCCGGATGAAAGGCTGAGTCGGGTCATAGAGCTGTGTGGCTCGTAAATCGCGGACCGGGGACTAATTCTAGTCATTCAAATTAGACCAGTCCAAAACCCTACCATTCAATGAGAGTTCATTAATTTTAAGATATTTGTATTTCTTCCTTTTTCATTAAAAAAAAATTTGTATTTCTTAAAAATACTGCATGTAAGCATGTTTAAGATTTTTATTTTTAATTAAAAACAATAAAATAAATAAAATTTAAGACGAATCAAAAAAATTTTATAATAAGGACAAGAAGAGTACATATATCGAAAAAAAAAAAAGCAGTTTTAGGATTAACAATTTGAGGTTTATGAAAGGGTCGCAAGAGGCTTTGTAATTTTGTATAGTGACTCGAACATCGTATTGTTGTATTAATGTTTCATTCTGTTGGGGCAGCGGAAATGTTATGTTGTATATGTCTATTAGTCGAATAAATGATTAGCTTAAATTTCAAAAGAAGATGAGAGTTTGATTACAAATATTATATAGTACATTGTGTTTTAACTTATTACGAATATGATTAATCTTTTTTTAAGATTACAAATGCTCCTTCCGTCTCATAATTATTGTCCAGTTTGGATTTTTATTTTCAATTTAAATTGTACTAAAAGTGAAATCTCAAACTGGACAATAATGTTTGGACAAAAGGAGAATAACAATTTTGATTAAAGAAAGAGACATTTTTTTTCCCATAGTATGTTGTACTCTTTCATTTAGTGAAATGTCTATTCCTCATTCTCCTTTTTTAAAAATAAAAAAAAAATCTAATTTCCTATGTCGCTTGTAGATTGTTTTTTCTAAAAAAAAAATAAAAATAAAAATTCTGATTGGCTCCATGCATGATTGAATGAGATGTTTACAGAAGGAGCCGAATATAAAATATTGCAACAGAAGTAAAAATTTTGTCATAAAGTAAATTGGGTTTCTTTTTTTTTTTCCATTTATTTTGGATTAGTTTAGCCCTAAAAACAATTGTACTCGACGTTGACGCCTTCTAGAATTTTATCAAATGCATAAAGAAAGTCCGAATGTATTTATCGACGGATAATCTTGAACAAAAAACGTTAAATAATAAATATAATAAAACCTTCAAAATTCAGGGGGCAAATAAAACAAAAGTGATGAGTGGGACTTTTCTTCTTAACTAGCTAGGACCATTACATCACTGAACCCCAATTGCAGAACAAAAAGGAAGTTATCCCCTTCTAGAAAGTGAGTAACCAAATGGTTGGTTGCATATATGTAGAGCAGACATCAGAAATAATAATAGCGCGATGGAAGCGAATTCTACAACGGATTATATTGTATTTGTTGATTAATTAGTATTCCGTCCGTCCCATAATTATTGTCCAGGTTGGGTTTTCATTTTCAGTTCAAATTGTACTAAAAATGAAATCTCAAACTGGATAATAATTTTGGGACAGAGGGAGTATTTTAAAATTTTCAAAATCGCACATTCTATCAGTGGTTCAACCACGATTATTGTTCGAGTTACTTATCTGCGTTTACGTAATTATTTTAGGTTAAGAAAGGAATAATTATGAGTTTAAGATGTGTGGTTTATCCACTCCTTTTCTTTTCTTTTCTTACAAAATAGATAACATTACTTTTTGTTGATATATAAAAAATTTAAAAAAAAAGAGTCAAGTTTACTGGATTAAAAGTAAATTATTTGTTTATGAACGATGGTAATATTATATCAGTTCTTCTTAACTTCATTATTATTACTTTGACAAAACTGTGTCACAGTATCATGAAAATATTTCATTCCAATTCAATTATAATTTGTAAATATTCTCTTGTTCTTGGAACCCAATTTTGGATTGTGTACTATGAAAGTTACGATTTCTGGATTACTCCTTTGATGTTACACATGATAGAGCTTTCAACTCTTGTCCTACTTAATACGGAGGGTTTAAAAAAATTAAATGTTGGCTAACAACATTGATTTAACAAAAATCACGTTGATTTCACTGGATACGACATTGTAAAGAAAAGTATAACAGGAATTCAATTTTATTTTAAAATTATTGTCCTGTTATTAATAACACACTCACATGATTATAAAATATTTTGGAACAAAATGCATGTCTTACTATTTTTTTTATTTTTATCATAATTGTTTCCAGATAATGCTTGTTCAGTATAAATATTTTTCGAGATACGTTTATGGGCTAAATTCCAAGTAAGCAAGGGGGTCAAAAGGGAGGGAGTTGTTAGTTGGAGTGGTTATCCAGCCATTAAGAAAATATATTTTTGGAATGGAAAGATTAAACAAGTTCACTACAGCAAAAATAAATAAATAATCAAAAAGTAATAATAATAATAATAATAAATGAAAATTAGTCTTAGTGTGTTTGGAAAGCTCGTTAAGGACCATTTTATGGTTCTTGAACCATGCACGAGTAAAACTCCTAAGGTTATTAATACTTATTCTCTTACAAATTTAAACTTTTATGTTTAAAATGAAAATAACATACTTTCTTCGTTTTATAAAAATAATTTATATTATTATATATAAATTATATTGTTATAATATAATGTACAATATGAACCATTTTTATTCAGCAAAAGGAACGTACTTATCAAACACCATACTTGCAAGTTGCCAAATTTGATTGAGGAGACCTCGTTCAGCGACGTTTACAACGATTTCTTGGAAAATTGAGATTTAATCCCACAAGAAATCAGAATCTAAACCCAATTTTTTTTTTTTTTCATTTGCATGTAAATTTTGAAATAGTTTGATTAAGTAAATGGATATAATAAATAACGTACACATCAAGACTCCTATATTT